GCAGTAAGCATTTCCAAATAAACTTGATAGATTTTTTGCAAGAAGAGAAATAAAACCATGTGCAGAGAAAGTACCTTCTGTCCTCTCCCCCTGCATGGTTGAAAATGTGAGATAAAGAGGAACAAAAGCCGTCCACAACACTGGACTTCCCTTTGGCTCAGAATCCTACTGTCCATATTTACACTTGGTGGGTCCCTGTCTTGTTTCCATGGTTCCACCTAAGAGTGGGAGAAGCAAAAGAGCATGCTAAGAGTAATTAATGGCTGTGAGCAATCAGCTGACTTCCGGCCCATGGTTTCCTGGATTGGGTGTCTACAGAAGGGGGAGATGCTCTGATGACTCTACAGAGCTGTGTGGACGAAGGGGTTTCACAGCATGTATGTCTGGTGTCACAGTACAAATGGAGCCCAGGGGAGAGGGTAGGTTAAGGGTTTCCAGAGCTGGTCGTGAAACTTTCATGACAAAAATAGGCTTTCACCACTAAGTGAGATTCCACTGCAGGGCAGACAGTAGGAAGTGATCTTGTCAAGTTTCAGGAGTGTTTTTCAATCTCATCATTACTGGGGCTAGACAAGTGCAGAGAGGTGGGTGGTGGCTTACTGTGCAGCCCACGCTGGCCTTGAACTCAGCCATTAAGACACTTCAGCCTCCCAAGAGCTGGGATTACAGATAGGTGCCACTACACATGAGTGTAGTCAGTTCTTTGTTGCAGGGGTTTTTGTCATGTGCCTTGCAGATAGTCAATGGCATCATTGGCTTCTGTCTCCCTGGAATCCAGTAAACACCCCCTGCGCCTGCCCTACCCTCCAGATAGCCTGGTGCTATGGTTCTAATATTGTTTCAGTGTGCTCTCCCCCACACAGAGTCATGTGTTGGGACTTTGGCTCTAGTGTGGTAGTACTAAGGTTACAGAGCTTTTAAGAATGGAAAGTGACTATGTCACTGGGGAATCTGCCCTGAGAAGTTGTTGTGGGACCCCCAGTTTGTTTCTGTGAGAACGGGTTGTAAAGGTTCAAGCCCAACTACAGGACAGCTCTGGCTTCTGGCCTGGCCATGTGGTATATTCTGAAATTGTCATGATGCCATCCACGAGAGGACTTCACTAGAAGTTCTCACCAGAGGCTGGACAGGCCAAACTGCCTTACTTTGGTCTTTCTGTCTTGAAAACTGGGCTACCATTCACAGTCTCCGTATTTCATTACAGCAACTGAGCGTGGACTGATAATGCACCAGTAGGTAGTACAAAACCAAGGACTCTGGGAGGTAGAGCACCATGATTCCAAGCACAGTGACTCATCTTGTAGGAAACTCAAATGTGCTCACAAGCATGAAGAAGGCAAGGTGATTTTTATGTATATAAGTGCCTGAGTCACTTTTCCATTGCTGTAAAGAGATACCATGACATCAGCAACTTATAAAGAAAAGAGTTTATTGGGAGACTTGCTTACAGTTTCCTAGCAGAAAGATGGCAGAGGTAGGCAGGCATGGCAATAGAGCGGTAACTGAGGCTTTCATGTTGAGACTCAATCATGAGGCAGAAAACAGTTGCTGGAAAATGTCCTGGACTTTTGAAATCTTAATTCCCACCCTCAGTGACACACCTTCTCCAATAAGACCACGCCTCCTGATTCTTCCAAAAGAGTTCCACCACTTGAGAATCAAACATTCAACCATATGAGCCTACAGAAGCCATTCTCATTCAAATCATCACAATAGGCTGCAAACCGGGAAATTTATCCTCCAAACCCAAGCAACTTGGAGTGAAGGGGGTTCAAATAATAACTTCAGAAGCTGAAACTGTTAGAGAAGATGGTATTTTCATCAGCTTATAACCTGTGTTGAGCAGAGAGCTAAACCTAAGCCCCCTGTTTGATGCTTGTGCTAAATAGAAACACACATGGAAGCTTCATTTGATCTTCCCAAACCTTATATGCTCTCACCCTGTCACCATTCCGTTCTCATATGTAGGAGCAGTGAAGAACGAAGAAGCCCAAAATCACACAATGAATTATGTGGTCAGGACGGTGGTCCCAGCAGACTAGTGTCTAAGCCTGTGTTCTTAACTAGTGACCATTGGTGCTCAGTTATCTCAGGGAAGTGGTGCTGCTAGCATGCTATGTTCTGCACACATCACTAGCTCCAGGGAAGCTGTAGGTTACCAACTGTAGACTCACAATGGAACATCTTTAGGAAGCAGGATGCTCAAGGATGACTGTGATAAAGAGGAGAGAGAACACAAAAGCATTGTATAGTAGAAAATAAGGCAGGCCTTATGCCTGCCTGATTTTGTGGGTTAGGATTCCAAAGGTGAACCATTCCAGCATGTTGTCACTGTGGTGGGACGGTCAGTCTTGGGTCAAGTGATTCTTTGGTATAGGAACACACAAAGGTGACAGGAATGGAAAAGATTTTCGAGTCTCTGCCCAAATCGTTTCTCCACTGGCAGTGCTCCAGAGGGTATGGATGGTGAAGTCAGCCCAGACACACCACCCTAGTTAGTTAATTAGACTTGCAGATTCCAGTGAGTAGGGGTAGGAATAGAATCTTTTAAAGCTGTGGGTTATCCTGAGAGCTGGTAATCTGAGAAGACAGTGGATGAACATCCTAGAAAAGCCTTGACCAGCGGATAATATAGAGAATCGGGGGAGTGAAGCCCAACTTTGCTGCTCTGGTCAGGTGCTCAGTCACAGTTTTGAGGATTGTGATGTCTGTGCTTTTCTTGTTATCTCTTGCTCTCCTCTTTCATTCTGGAGCTGTGTGGGCACAGGCAGTTCATGAGATGCCGAGTCTAGTTTCTGCCAGTATCAACCTTGAGCTCCTCCAGGGGCATCTGGGCTGCTGTGAGGTGGTTCACTCAGAACAAACAAACCATTAACTATGCATCCGGTGATTCCTTTTTTACAATTGAATATGAGTGTGCTTTTATAATATAGAATGTAAGTGTTCCTTTCAGTTGTCCATTCTGATCTCTCTCCTTTCTTCTCCCTCCCTCCCTCTCTCTCCATTCCTCCCTTCCTCTTCCCACCTCTCTGCACAGAACTAGTATCTCTTGACCCCAACCAGACAGTTCCTAAAATCCTATCTCTGAGGCCCCTTCATTTCACTCTTTTTTGTCTTTTCCAGCAGTGCCCAACCCCCACCGGTTCCACTTTCCAACTTGAAGCTAGTCAAAACTCGCTGAGCCTCTCCCACTGACACAGGATCTGCACCTCATGTTAGAAGTCACATTGTGTACTTGGACTCACACGCCGGTGATAAGCAGGGGTGCGCATGCATGCATTTTCAGGCACCACGTCAAACCGGCACATGCTGTTCTTCATAAACACCCCGAGACAACCACCAGGCAGAATAAGCAGGAGAGGCCTGGAGGTGTGGTAAAGGGAGAGGGCATGAGGTCATAGGTGGTTGGAGTACTTAGAGAAGTGGTCTCTAGATCCCAAGCTCCCAACACACTTTTAACTGTCGAATTATTTCATTTTCTAGAAAAGGAAACCAGAAAGCAATGGTGGGTGGTGTAAGGGCGAGAAGGAAGCCGAGGAGCCAGGGACTTTTATTAGTCACCAAAGGCCACCTAAGATAAGTCATTCTCAGTGAGGCTTAGGTTTCTTGTCTAACAGAATCAGACCGTCAAGCTCTTGTCTAACAGGATCAGACTGTCAAGCGCTCCTCACACTGAGAGCCTGAGGCCCATACACAGCTGGACTGTGCACCTGACCTCTCTCCCTCCCCTCTTCCTCACTCTCACCCCTCCCTGCATTTCCGTACTGAGTATCAAACCCAGGGCCTCCCACACACTAGATGTATGCTCTACCCAAAGAACCAAATTCTCAGGCAAAGTAATTCTTCCTATTTTGCAAACGCAAACAAACAAACTGGTATACAAGGAGATTAATTCACCTCAAAGTCAAATAAACACTGGCCCATCACAAGTTGTTTGGGGATCAACCTCCTACCTATAGGGTTTCTTTAGAGCAGTCTGAACTACACTGGTCCACACCATTTCCCAAGTTCAACTCTTGACACTCTTCAATCAGGATTAGCTAAATAGGCTTTCAATAATCAGTGTCCATGAAAGATGAAGAAGGCGGGGCGGGGGGAGGGGGAGGGCGGCGGAGAGTCTTCAATTTTTCTGGCTTAAGAGCACTCAGACTGCCCAAGGGTCTGAGGCTTGGTGACCATATCCCCACCCACGGTGTTCAAGTCAGTGTTGCCAGGCACTTCCTCGTTCCGGTGCGCCCTGGACTCAGCTCCTACGCCCAGAGCCTGGGCAACTCAGGCGGGAGGGGGACAGAGGGGAGGTGTCGCAACCTCCTCCCTCCCTCTTTCCCCGCCTTGGCATTCAGTTACCTCGCAGATGAGCGCTCTCTCAGACAGCGGCGGGCGGCCGGGCGCCCGGCATGTTCCCTGAGTGTGCGCGGACGACGGGCCCTGGCCCCTCGCGCATCCCCGACCAAGTCAATCGCACCCACTTCCCTTTCTTCTCCGACGTCAAGGGCGACCACCGGTTGGTGCTGAGCGTCGTGGAGACCACCGTCCTGGGGCTCATCTTTGTTGTCTCGCTGCTGGGCAACGTGTGTGCCCTGGTGCTGGTAGCGCGCCGTCGGCGCCGTGGGGGGACTGCCAGCCTGGTGCTCAACCTCTTCTGCGCGGATTTGCTCTTCACCAGCGCCATCCCTCTAGTGCTCGTCGTGCGCTGGACTGAGGCCTGGCTACTGGGGCCGGTCGTCTGCCACCTGCTTTTCTACGTGATGACCATGAGCGGCAGCGTCGCGATCCTCACGCTGGCCGCGGTCAGCCTGGAACGCATGGTGTGCATCGTGCGCCTGCGGCGCGGCTTGAGCGGCCCGGGGCGGCGGACGCAGGCGGCGCTGCTGGCTTTCATATGGGGCTACTCAGCGCTCGCCGCGCTGCCCCTCTGCATCTTGTTCCGCGTGGTCCCGCAGCGCCTTCCCGGAGGGGACCAGGTGAGCGCTAGCTGCGTGCAACGCAACAAGTGTCCAGGCGGGCTGCGGGTGGGAGGCGGGGATCTGACCAAAGTGGTGGGCTGGGGAGGGAAGGGGGGGATGGTGATTAGCAACAATAGTAGGTCGTTGGTGGAATTGAATCCTTTTTGGCGGACTCAGTGCCCAATACTCTGGAGTTTAATTTCATCAGTTTACCCACAGTGCCAAGTGGGTAAGTAAATCTTCCCAAATGCTGTTAAGGGGGACTCTCCCAGATTTTTTGCAAAATGCAGCGACTATTATGAGGCTAATGAAGCAATGGGAGCTTACAGCCAGGTGGGACACAGGGTGCGAGGTGACTTCTCACGGAGTTTCTGCCTTCTTTCCAAATGTCATGCTACTGTTATTACCCCATGTATTTAACAAAAAAGCTGGGACACTCAGCATCTTCCTAATGACTGGGCTCCTTAGAAGTGCAGTCTCAAGGAGAAGCCTTGCAGTGGTGGGGAAGGATTCCTGTTCCCCTCTACCGCCCCCACCCCCGCCCCAAACCCCGGACACAGAGGAGGGCTTCCAGGGCCAGCAGTGTCCACAGACCACTTTTTTTTTTTTTTAATTGAGGGTAAGGGTGGATGAAGGCTACTTCCTGAGCTAGCAGTATCTTTGAAAAAAAAAAAAATCAAACCCCAAATCACAGAAGGGAATGTTTGTTTGATAATGACTTTGAATGACTAATAAGCAGGAACCAATCAGGCCTATGACACTTCATTAAAGAACATTGTAAGCATGTGAGCATGTCTGCCTGGGAGGATACAGACGATCCAGGGTTAATTGAGCTGATGGGTACTGCTGACCTAGAAGAGAACAAGGAAGGTCTCTATCTCACTCCAGGCTTGTCCTTAGCCCAGATACACCTGAGCATCAGGGCAGGCCACATAGATGCTTCTGGAATAAGTGAAAGCTCTGATCTAACTCCTCACCAAAGGGATCACATGCTAGATCAACACGTATGTCCAACTGGCCACATGTGGATACTATGTGAATGACTATGAACATGTCCCAACATGGACGACAGTGCTCTGCCAGTCTCAGAATGTTGGACAGCCTGATAAAGGAGGCAGCTCTGCCATCCGTTGTTTGTTTAAGCTGGTTTTTTCCCCCAGTGAGTTGCAATAATATTGCTGTATTTTTTCATAGAATTTAAAGAATACTTGTTCAATTCCAAGAATTAAGACCAAATAGTGTATCTTAAATTTCCAGATGTACTGCCCCTTTTAAAATTCATTCAGGTACGATCCTATTTGGCTGGCAAATAACACTAAGAAGGAAAAAAAAAAAGTCTTGTCTTCTCCCAGCCAACCTTCAGACTGAAACTGGGTACTAATGTGCTCACTGCAGCTTGAGTGAGGGGGGCCCTGCTTGTTGTGCACTCTGTGCTCATCCCGCCCCCACTCCAGAGAGTGACTGAACCTGGAGCCCTCCCTCTACAGCACTTCCGGAATTTTCCTGCAGGTGCTTCTGGGGAGATTCTGGTTAGATAGCTCTTGTTTTCATGAAACAAACAAACAAAACAACTTGTTTGCTTTCAAGGTCTTTGGAGGGGCATTTGGGCAAAGCCACTGGGACAGTAAGGGCTGACACTGGTTTAGAGGCCAAGTGACAGGAGCCTTAGTTAAAGTTAGTTGGAATTTTTAGAGTTGGGATTCGGAAACTTGTAGTAGAGGGAAAAAAAAAAGGACAGTGTCCTGTCTCCCTGCCCCTTCCTGTCTATTACTCCTATTACTCTCTCACTCCTCTCTCTCT